TGTGCATTTTTTATCGAATAGTAAATTATATGGATGTTGTAAATTATTGCTTCAGTACAAGTAAAGCTTTGAAATGTTGTTTTATACGATTTCTGGTAATTTGATAATTTTCTGAAATTGTGTATTTCGTCTCTGTTTGGGATTTCTGTCGACTGTACGATATTTTAAGGGTTCTCCTTAATTGAGCTACTTGTATTTTGTTGTTCTATATGAATGTGCATATATGATTGAATTACTGTCATTGTTACTGAGAGACAAGTAAAGACTGGTTGAATCGTTGGTTGGAGACTGATAGACCTGACAGGATGGTGGGCCGACGGACTTTCCTTTAAAAATGGTTTGGTGTTATCCTCTACTGATCACGTAATTACTGAAGGGAGTCATAAGGAGATTTTTCTGCTGACGGGCAAGAGCGACGACTCTTATTGAGCCAACGGATACAACGATACATCGATATTCCAAGATTGAAAAACGTCGTAATAGCCATGTCTTTTACTTGTTTAGTAAAGGCTGGTTGAACCGTTGGTTGAAGATTGACCTGTCAGGATGGTGGGCCGACGGGCTTTCTTTTAAAAAGGGTTTGGTGTTATCCTCTATTGATCACGTGATACAACGATTGGGAGTCATAAGGAGTTTATGCCAACGGGCAAGGGTGACGACTCTATTATAGCCAACAGATTACTAACATACTAACATTGAAAATGCCTTAATAGCCAGTGATTGTATTTGTCGAGTAAGACTACTATACTAGAATGCATGCATGTGTAAAGTATTGTTCTTATGATCTCATTATGGATTTACTGATTTATCGATATTAATTGATTTATTGATATGGAATTGATTTATGTATTTTGAATGGATTTACTGATATTGAATTGATTTATTGATACTGAATGGCTTTACTGTACGAATTTATGAGTTTCCTGTCATTGCACGATTTCATTGATATTTCATACTGTACATGTCACTGAACACAGATACCGATATGGATATTGATATTGCATCGATTTATTGATTCATTGATACTACAGATATCGATACCGATACCGATACTACTGATCCACTGATACATTGATTCATTGTATCGATCTTATAGCACGTGATACATCGAATACTGACCGATACATGTGATACACTGACCACATGATATAGAATATGATTTTACTGTATTGATTGATTTTAATGATTATTATTGATTTATCGATTTGATTTCAACTGTCCTTACGATGTATTAAATTGATCGTTTTATGTGATTTCATATCGATTGAGATTATTGACCGAAATTGATTTCTTTATTAATCTGATTGATTCTATTGATATGATTGAGTGATGTTAATTGTATTTGGTTTGACGAATTTACTAGTACTGACTCATTTACTGAGGATTTATCATTTATGTACGGATTCATTGTTACCACACGATTTCACTATTATAGCATAATCGTTCATGTCGTCATTGGATTGTTATTAATATTGATACATACACTGTTGCTACTGATTCACTAAACTGACATTATGCACGTGATATACTGAGCAAGTGACATGTGATTCCACTAAGCACGTGATATTGATTTCTGGGTTGCATATGATTAATTGAGCAAGTGATAAATAACTGGAGTTTGCAAGTGTATGTTGGTATGCTGTGATACGATTCTACTTCATTGACTCGACTGATGTTATAGACTGATGAGATAGATAAGACGACTACTGTAGAGATGTGATGTACGTACTGATTTATTGAACATTATAGATTTTCTACTGTTCACTGATTCTATCACTACTGATTTTGGATTCTATTGTTTATGCATTGATTTCTGTTTATGTACTGATTTTCGTATCTACATCGATTCAATGATCATGTGTAAGTGATTGATATTGATTTGATTGTTTGACATGCATATTGCTTATGCATCATCCTTTGATTTTAGTTATAAGCTTTGGTGACCAACTAGGCTATTTAAGCTCATTATATATAGTTAACAATTTCAGGTCAGAGCAATAGAGTAGGAAGTGATGGTTGATCAAGACTGTTGAAGAATCCTCTCACTATAGACGCTTGGGATGTCACAGCTATTTTATTGTATGAAGAATACAAAATATCATTTGGGAAATTAGAGCAGAGAAGGAAGAAGATGAACAGTATAGAGCATATGCAGAAGCAGTCGAGGAGGTCCGCTCACAAACCTCGCAAAAGAAAAAGCGGGATTTTTTATGGGGGTCATAATAGAGTGGTAGAATAGATGAAATAATGGGTTTTAGATGGTATATCAGTAAATACAAAAATTTAGGTGCTGAATATATATTTATAATAGTTTGAAGTGTTATGTTTGTAAAAATCCCTTTTATTTTCTATGTCAACCAACTAAATCTAAAAAAGTATATTCTAAAATTCTTTTTGGATCAAAATACCCCCTCTAGACCGATTACTACTCTTAAATTTACCGCGGCAAAAATTGATCAGAACAACCAATATCATTATTTGAACGCTAATCAAATATTAATGATTCACATTAAAAAACTTTTATGATCATGATTTGAACATGATTTGAATATGATTTTTGATATATCATAAAAAATTATCTTGATCGGGCGCGAAGCTCGAGGCAAAATCAAGCTGTAAACTATAAAATTAAATCTGGGATCACCTGAACTCCAATTTTAGTAAACTTATAGTCAAAGTGAGCGTCTCGGAAATACAAACCCAACGACACCAAATTCAACTCAATCGGAGCCCAAAAGAGTCCAAATTAAGGACCCGAAGCGCTGTTGAAAAATTTGAACCACAATTTGGAACTTTTATTTGGTCCGGTGAACGTACGCTCCTCTACGTTCGGCCACCAATATTTTAGCGACACGTAGCATGAAGAAAAGTCGCCGACCTGACCCGTTGTTTTTTGGGTTCTAGCGCATGCGTTTTTTTAAATCCTTGACGAGCCGAACAACATCCCATTACCTTTTCGATATATTTCAAATACCTAGCAAATACCGAGTTGTACCTAGTTTTTTCTAGCAATACCGAGCAAATACCGAGCAAATCCCTAGCAATACCGAGCAAATCCTGAGCAAATACTGAGTTGTACCGAGTTGTACCGAGTTTTTTCTAGCAATACCGAGCAAATACCTAGTAATACCGAGCAAATCCTTAGCAATACCGAGCAAATACTGAGTTGTACCGAGTTTTTTTCTAGCAATACCGAGCAAATACCTAGCAATACGAGCAAATCCTTAGCAATACCGAGCAAATCCTGAGCAAATACTGAGTTGTACCTAGTTTTTTCTAGCAATACCGAGCAAATACCTAGCAATACCGAGCAAATACCTAGCAATACCGAGCAAATCCCTAGCAATACCGAGCAAATCTTGAGCAAATACCGAGTTGTAGAAAAACTCAATACAACTCGGTATTTGTATAGTTTTGGTCTTCACAGAGTGGTATTTCTCGTTTTTGCAAAGCAATACTGAGCAAATATCGAGTAATACCGAGAAAATCGCAAACATAGCATTCCCGGGTTCCGCTCCGGGTCAAGTCGTCGGGCCGCGCGGTAAACAGTAAGAGCACGTGGCGACATGTTATTGGCGGCCGAACGTACCTCTACGTCAGGTTAGAGGACGTAATAATTGTTCCACAATTTGAGTTACCAAACGATTTTGAAACATAACATGCTTATAATTGAATCAAGCGGCTCGACGAGACGAATCCAATGAGCCCAATATCGCTAAATTCCAACATCATTAAGACCTTCAAATGTCTGATAAACAGTCCATGATCAAAGGATTCAATATCAATCGTCCATCTATCCACTCCCTATTTACCCCTGATCTATCACCTATTTACAAGCCATGCCACTCCAGAAATTTATAAATAGACCCCTCATTTCTCTTGAAAGGGGACCCAAGCAATAAGAAGATAAGAGAAGAAGAAGGGAATGATAAGAGGGAAGAAACTCCTCATCGACCACCGCCAGAGTTCTGCCCGACGCCTAAGTGATGCCGAAGTTCTGCCCGACCCCAAGTGACGCTGAAATTCTGCCCGACGCCCATGTGACCCCGAAATTCTACCCGATGCCGGAATTCTGTCCAAGCAACACCGGAATTCTGCCCAAGTGACGTGCAAACTTTTGTCTGACGTTCAAGTGACATCGAAACTTCGTCTGATTTCCAAGTGACGTCAGAATTTTAAGTGACTCTGAATTCAACTCGAATACACAATTTATGTGTAACTGGACTTCAATCTGGAAGTAAACCATTGTAATATGATCATCCTAAATTATAAGGACGAGTCAACCTCTTGTATCTCAAGCAAACACTAGTGAAACTTTTTTCAACTTGGCGTGTCTCGTGGTTTTTCCCCTTTCTAGGATTTTCCACGTAAAAATCCGGGTGTCTTTATTTCTCTCATGTTTGTGTGCTAGATGTATGTACAACATTGAGACGGAAACTTTCTAACTCTATCGCCGCGTATATTCTAGTTCGCAACAATTTTATATCATTTTCTTCATTAAAGCAGCTTTTATGTCATTTTCTAAAAAATCGGTAGGAGGAACTGGAAACCAGCGTTGTTTTTTCCTCCAAAAACTACATCCTCCCATCCACTTCCACCTCCATGACTTTCAACTCGGTGAGCTTCTCCAACTAACTCAAGTTAACGAGTCGGATTGGAGCTTATATTTATATTGGCGTATCGAGCTCGAGCTCAAAACGCAAACTTGACTTGAGCTCATTATTGATTGGATGAGCCGATCTCAAATTAACTAAACATGTCTAGAGGCCAATCAAGATATATCAAATTACTATATAACGTTGCATAACAATGGTACACAAAAATTTGATAGGCTTACACCCATCAATGGAAGGAAAAGGTAATGTTTGACAATTAAAACTAAGCTTTCGATCATGCTTTAGACTGAACCTGATATGACGCGGAAGGTGGCATCGAATTCCACGTATTCAATTCATACAGAGCAACTCGGACATCAATCGGACCTTTCAAATACGATTTAATACTGGCATCGCGTACGATAGGAGGAAAAGTAGTCGCATCGGTCGGGGGGAGAGAGAGGAGAGAGAACGGAAGAAGGAAAGAGAGATCGGCTTCGCTTGTGAAACCTCGAGTTCTTGAGACCTAATTCCTTGGTCGATCTGTGATTCTATATCAGTGATTCGTCTCTAGCAAGGTTAGTCTCTTTTATCATCGGCCTTCATTTCCCTCGATCTGCACCGGCCGGCTTCTTTATCTTTAAGGATTCGATCTCTGTGAACGCGATTTCGGCTTGACGAGTAGATGTATTTCTGTTTTTTTTTTTTTGCATCTGATAGATTTTATTTTTGTTGAAGCTGTCTAGATTAATTGAAATATTAATTGTTGTTTGTGAGACTTACTACTGTGCCATCTATTGGATGAGATCCACGCGGATCTGTTGCTTGAGCTATGTCGGTTAGCTAGAAAAAAAATTCTAAAATGACTGTAGAACACTGTATGTACTTAGTTCCTTTAACGATGCATATTGTTCTGTGTTCCATTCATCTTATATTCGCTGTCCTTGGCATACTTTTTTTATTAGTTCATTTTTTTTAAATTTTTTGTTTGATTTATTTTGATACATGATTACCAGATATGTTTTGTTTGCTTTTGATGTATTCCTATGTATGATTGGTTTGCTACAATCTTAGAGGAACGACTGTTTAAGATGGATAGTAAACCAGATGTCTAGGGGTTTGTATGAAGCTTACGGCTGGTGTTTCTATTGCATTTTTTTGCATGCTATTTGGGAATTAAGAAGCTATATGACGTACTTGAGTACTTGATGATGAAGTACATGCGCGATATTTATTTCTTGGTAGTGAAGCTCTCTTAAGCTTGTGCTGTTGGTATTGCTGATTGTTTGTGATCTTGCTAGGCTACTTTCTGCCGAAGTATTATCATAGTTAATTATTTTTTTTTGTGTTATTCCTTTTTTTATTAATATTTCTTCAGGTAATTTAATCCTAAAAGGCCAGTTTTCTTTGGGTATGAAAATGTTGATTTTCGTTTTCCCTGTTGATGTAGTGTTTGCACTCAATTGTGTAGACTCAAATGACCTTCAAAGGGTATCAGGATTTTTGTGATTGTATTGCATTCTCTTTGCATGTTGTTTGAGTATAAATAAGTTTTATTGGTGTACTTGAGTACTGCATGATGAAATTCATGAGGGGTATTTGCTTATTGGAAGCCATGCTTTGTTAGTCTTGCATCATATGTTTTGTAGTTGCCTGTGATCTGTATGCACTTCAACTCAAGCATCATCATCATTGATTTTTTTGTTGTTTTTTTATTGAATATTTCTTGCAATGTTTTAATTCTAAAAGATAAGTTTCCTTTGCGGCTGAAAATGTTTATATTCAATTTTCTAATATGCATATTGGTTGCACTCAATTTTGAGAAATCAAATGACCTTCCAAGGGTATCAATATTAGAAGATTTGTAGTTTCCATAGGAAATAAGTACCACAGATGTTTAACTTAGCTAACCTTTTTTATCATTTAATTTGTTGGGTCTTTATTTTTGATGCTAGTCCAGGCCAGGTGGTAAGTTTGAATTTATGTTCAATAATCCAGTGATATTCCTAGCAACTTTTATTTGTTTTTTGTAAATAGTTCTCATCTTTGCATTGCTGTTCAATTAGAAGGGAAAAAAAATATTTGATATTCATTTTTATTACTAATGCATCAAAAGCTCTTTCTCTTAGATCATATTGTGTAACATTGGTGAAAATTTATGTTGATGCTTAATCAAGCATTTTACTGCAAGTGGCTTCTTTCCTATGAAAAATAGTTAGATTTGTAGGTTAATTACACCTTTTGTTTAGTCCTTGTTATCTTTTTATTTTATTATTTTTATTGTTAAAATTTTGCAATAAATGATAAAGTGATCTTATGTTAAATCTTATGTTGTTTTAATGTTTACCATCCACCTTTTATGTTTATTCTTTGATTGTATTTATGTTTCCATAGTGTTCTAGAATATCACTTATCATTTGAAAAGAATGCAATATAAGGTTCTCATCATCATCATTATTCATATTATGTTCCCACTGTTATGATAAATTTATGTACATAAGTCCTTTGTTATGTGTCCGATGTTCAATTGAACAAATTCCCATGATAAACCTATACCTTCATCTTTGTTGCTCTAGTGTTTGGTTTGGTCTCTTTTGATGATTTGTACATTTTTTGTTCAAACAAATAATATATGGAAACTAATCTTAAAAAAATTATATTTAGTGCTTACATTTAGAATGGATATGATTGATTGATAATCTAAATATAATGTAAATTATAATACAGTAACAACAACAACAACAACAACAACAACAACAAGCCTTTATCCCACTATGTGGGGTCGGCGTAATATGGGATGGGCATTGCTTGTTGTGCCTTGAAATTGTGATATCTTTGATTGCAAATCTGTAAGTGACAAGCTAATGAAATAGGATAAGTTTTTTTGGTTTACTATAGGGAAAATGAGAATTATTTGTCTTTGAACATTACCATGAATCCACTTATTTTTGGGCATTCATTTTTGTTGTTAGATTTGCAGTAGTGCTTGCTCAACTTTTGCCCTTCTTCAAATGAAAGATTGCAAAGCAAATTTGTGCTTTCTCCCATCAGACTTATGTTGTGGTAGGCATTCAAATGTGATTAGACTTCTTGGGCCTTGAGGATGATTGGTGCCTTTGGAAGCAATTGTGATGCTTTGTTGAGAAGGAAACCAAGGTGGCAATTTGTTTATATATGGAGTCCATAATAGTCTATGATTCCCTCCCACTCAATCTTATCCATGATAATGCATGCAGTGGTTGCTTATGGAAGCTACATTTTTCATATGACTCATCTCAATGGTTGTTTTTTCTTCTTGAAATTATATCAAATTTCAAATTGATTGTGTTGGGAAATAAATGTGAACTAGCTATGTGTTTATCATTATTCATGAATTATCTTGAAATTTTATTCGCTGATGCAAAGAAGAGTGAAGAGATATGCCAGGCTAGAAGATAGAAGCTTAAATTTGAGTGAGTTGCTTTGCTCGAAGAGCCATCAAAACACTAGTGTGAACAGGAGGACATCGAGATAGTGGCTCTAGTGAATGAGAGATTGTAATTAGGAGGTTGGTAGTGATTAAGCTGGAATGGCTAGGTGCTTTAGTGGCTGGATTCTTGGAAATTTTCTATTGTTATTGTTGTGATGAAGAAAAATTGTAGCAGTACCGTCATAGAGTATCATTACAAGAAATAAACCAACTCGGCGATATTGAGGAAGGATTGATGCATATTTTGTCATAATCACAAATAAAGTTTCATGTACTCTTGAGCTACAGTGTATTTATTTATTTTTTTTCATTATGGATTTTGTTCAACAAACTTGTTGAACCATGCAATTCTTGTACTTTTTTGTTTTGTGTTTCTCTCTACCCTTTTTTTTTGGTTTTCTCCACACTTTTCTCTTTACTTTCCTAATAAATGACATTGGATTAACTATCCTAATAATTTTGTTACATTCTAAGGGAAAAATAGGAGCAATGAATCTTACCAATGAGAATGTGAAAAGAGATGAGGTTGATTTGAAAATTCTTGGATTTTAAGAGACGGATTGAAGACTACGTGCATCAAAAGAAGCTTCATTTACCTTTCTTGGGACAAATCTGAGTTCATGAGCTACTAAGATTAGGGTAGGCTTACCAAAGTTGGGACTTGTGCGCCCATCATTTACCTAAATGTTACACTCAATATTAATAGTGATTAAACTCTATCACATATATTCTAGAAGTTATCTCCAATAATTAAGATATATTTAATGAGAGAATTTTTTTAATTCTTAGGATGGTGGAAGTTGCGTTTGCCCCCCCCCCCCCCCCCCCCCCCCCCCAAACAAACACCCCCCCCAAATAAAAAAGAAAAATCCAGTTAATTGCTGATGGTTTCTTTTGTTAGAAAATCCAATGAAAAAATATGTTCCTTCAGGTTAATGCCATCTTTACATGAAAGCTGGGGTGGTAAATTTTTCATATGGGTCTATATTTTCAAATCTCAATAATTTCAAATATTTAATCTCAAGTGATTGTATCTCGAGATGAGAGTCAAGTGAAGAATCTTGTTTTGCTTTGGATATTTAAAGTAGAGAAGAACTATGATAAAAGGGGAATAATTGAGGGAGATTAAAATTTCAATGGAGAATGCATAGCCAAAATCAAAGAAGTCAATCAAAAGGTTGCAACATCATATGCTGGCTATATGAGCACGTTAAATGCATTAAACGAGGTTACTGACAAAAGGAAATTAGAGATGCTTAGAAGCAAAAATGAGGAGCCTGGATGCAACCACAAAAGATATTCATTATGAATTGATCTTTGTCTTCGATAGTTGCAGGTCAAGAATCTGGATTTGTTTTTTTTTCCAACCCTTCAAGGGGTTGATAACTAATTATTATTTAGAGTATTACTTGAATGTTTATTCTTGCTGAAGTAGAAACATATGATGCTCAAATAAAAATCTCAAATTAGACTATATAGAAGCTTTACCAGGTAATATGTATTACCAGGACTTCTTATACAGATATAACACTTGAACATTGGCTCAATTACCAAAGGATAAGAGATTATTGTTTGTAAAATGGATTTTTTAGGATTAAGGAAGACCATAATAGTAATAAAAAATGTAAAGCTAGACTAGTGGTAAAAGGGTTTTAATAAAATAAGATATTTACTTTCATTAGAATTTGTTCTCTTGCTTACAATGAAGTACTTTAAAAGCTAGACTAGTGGTAAAAGGGTTTTAGTAAAATAAGATAATTGCTTTCATAAGATTTTTTTTTCTCTTGCTTACAATGAAATACTATTAGATGTGAAGATAAATTTGTTGTCAAGTATAAAGACTAACTTGCATCTTGAGCAGGTGAAGATAAATTTTCTTCATGGTGATTTGAAGGGAATCTACATGATGCAATGCTCCTTATGGTTCTTGAAGTTCTTTAAGTAGAAAGTCGTATTGCTAGTTGAATTAAAGTAAACTTCTTATCTGGGATTGATACCATAAATTTAGTGGGTTTATCCATTAAATTAGCTTCACAGAATGCCATGTGGATCATTTTTACTATATTAATAGAGTTGGTAAAGGTTATTTGATATTATTTTTATATGTGG